TGCTGCTGCTGCTGGTGGTGCTGCTGGTGGTGCTGCTGGTGCTGCTGGTGGTGCTGCTGGTGGTGCTGCTGGTGGTGCTGCTGGTGGTGCTGCTGGTGGTGGTGCTGGTGGTGCTGCTGGTGGTGGTGCTGGTGGTGGTGGTGGTGGTGGTGGTGGTGGTCGGCGGCGGCGGCGGTGGTGGTGGTCGGCGGGGCTGGTGGCGGTGGTGGTGGTGGTCGGCGGGGCTGGTGGCGGTTGTGGTGTCGGTGGCGGTGGCAGTGGCGGTGGTCGTGTGGTCTTTGCTCACGGTCCTGGACGACATGACTGCCTACAACTGCTCTCCCTCTCCCTTTCTCTAGACTCGAAGTCTTCCTTTACTCGACACAAGATCTGTCTCACGTTGCTGCTATTGTTTACGTGCAGCACGTGATAGTGCTTGCGTGGCCACTCTGTTTGTTGCCTGCTAGGCTGTTCTCTGCCAAGGCTCCTCAAGATGCCGGCGCTATGCGCAGGGTTCTCGGAGTTGGCCAAGTGCTGCACAAACTGGTTGAAAATCTTCATGACAGATCTTGTTGTCAACCTCATGTCAAGGACCACACCAGTTTGCGAGACTGCGACATTCCCGCCGTTCACGTTCGAGGTCGAGGTCTTTGAGGCTATAGTTCCTCCCGTGATTGAGGTTGATTGTGCGGTGCTCGTATCCTGGCACAACTCGCGGAGAACGTAGTTCTGAAGCCTGTAATGGTTCTGGTACCGATCCCAGTGCTTCCGCGAATTTTCGTAATCCATGGTGTGCAAGGACGGCACGCCGATTTTGGCCATTGAGGCCTCCTTGTCCCACAACTTGTACTCTGCTGCAGCCACCAACTCCACGAGATAACTCGGGTCATAGATCGACTCGAAGAAATTCTGCAGGCAGCTCTGCACCTCCGCCGCACTCTGGCACTTCAGAATCGCATCCTTGCAAGTCGTCAGGCCTCGGATGCTCCAATCTTTTCGGCCGTTCCCCTGAAAACACTCAAGCCCTACAATGCCAAGCCCTCGCCCTCATCTCGCCCGGTCACCGGCGTAGGCCAGGTCGATGAGCCCGTGCCGGGCGGGCTTGTTGGCTGGGAGGTCTCCTTGGACTTCGGGCAGAGTGGATCTGGGCCTGGGGTGTGGCTAGTGCGTATATTCTTGATTTTTGTTTTTTTTTGGGGGGGAAATGATCCATCATCACCAGCAGCAGCAGCACCGCCACGCAGACGACCTCTCCAATTGCAACAGCAGAAGCAAGTGGTGGTGTTGGCGAGTAGCCTGGCTAGGTTAAACTACTCTACGAGTAGTTGCTCGTCATAGTCCCCGACAACTCCTGCAATCCTCAATGTGCCAGGTTGCTGCGGCAGCTTTCGCCCAGCAGCATGTCCCAGAGCCGGAACAGGCTTGTGACGGGCAAAGTAAAAGCGAAGAGCCTTAGAGAATGACATGAACGTGGAAGGTAGCAAAAAGTTGTCATGATCTCTCTCATGACACCCTGAGCCTGAGTCTAGGCCTCCCCAACCCCAAAATGCCTCTTTTGAGATCCTGGTGAAAAAAGGCCCTGCCACCAAGGTTCCGCATGAAGGAAGCGTGGAAGACCATGGAAGGGTGGAAACCGAGGGCAGTGAGGTGCACCCAAAGCTCCGGCTCCATGCGGGACAGAATGTAGTTCCTGTGATGCATCTTACGCAGCACTGGAATGATAAAGTCTTCCTGCGAAAACAACGGCAACAACAGACAAAAACGAGGCCAAACAACTTACAGCCAGCAAAATTTACAAAAGCACAACATAGCAAAGACAGCAACTCAAGATGAAAACTACAAACCAAAGCCACCAAACCAAACAAACAGAGACGACAGCGACGAAGACGACGAAGACGACAACGAGGACGACGATACTTCCGAACATGAGGAGAAGGACTTATGGCTAGTGTCGCATCGAGATGTGGATCAGATGTGGATTAGGCTGAGCCAGAGATAGCAACGGCAGGTGACATCACCTCTTCTTGTTGCCACCACCAAGGCCTTGACGGTACAATTGTCTGTGCCTGTCGCACTCAAGCAATAGTCAGATAAACGCCCGACTGAGAGGTGCTCCACCTGGCCATCGAGAACCGGTAACCCCCTGGACCGTAGCCATGAAATAAGACTATTGGGAGGCCTTGGAGCTAAAACCACACCCGCATGACCCTCCAAACAACGTACAGTACGGGGCCTAGACCTGAGCATTCAGGGTGTCGGGTAGCCCAACTGACCCTGAAACCACCCGATGTCCTGAACTGTTTAGCCGGTTTTTGTTGGACACTTTGCAGGCGAGGTTCAATCGAAGCAAATCATCCATGGCTCCGCGCCGATCCGCGATTGGCATCTCCTACACCGAGGCAAGCATTGAGGCTTCCTGGCTTCAGCAGTTGAGAGCCCCGCTGTCGCTGAGCACAACTCATACGAGGGACCTCATATCGATTCTGTTCCCAGAACCAAGGGAGTCTATCTCAAGTCTCAGGTACTGAGTGTCCTAGCGTCCTCCTGCTGCTGCTGCTACTAC